GTGGAAAGGGACTTGGGTCGTTTAAGCAAAGGTCTCGAGTTCGAGAGGACCTCGCATATGTACCCGGCAGCTTTCTCGGAAGACCCTGCATATGTGCCTGGCAGCTTCCTTGGCGGATTAGTCCTAGGTCCCGACAGCTTCCTCGGAGGACCCCGCATATGCGTCCGGCAGTTTCCTCGGCGGATTAGTTCTGAGTCCAAAAAATCTGGGAATACTTTGGGAGACCTAAAAAAAAAAAAAGATTTAGATCAATTTTAAAGTACATGGATAAAAATCACATTGAAGATTCTTGATTTGACTTTTTTTGTTATGAATTTATTTTGTATTTTTGAGTTTCTCTCCCTCACTATTTTTATAATATTTTTGACATAGCAAAACACATATATGCTGGTTTAAGAAAGTGGGGGAGTGATTAATGGAGGAATTAAAATATACTAATGAGCTGGCTGTGCAAGAGTCTAACCATTTGACTAGTCATAATCTTCAATGGTTGTGTTTAATAAATGAACAAAAAATTTATTCTAAAAATAATCCACTAATTCACATGTCATACTAATGACAACTCTAAATGGATTAAATTTTGGTCGATAAATGCTAATAAATGTTATGTTACGAATCATGTTGTGTTATATATTTAAAAGTAATGTTATACTAATAAAAAAAACATACATATAAATTTTATATAGAATGATATGGTTGCATTATAAACTAAAACAATTATTAATTGCAAAAATATTGCATTAATATTTCTCTCGCTTTAAATTGTTTGTCCGACACAAAAAATAAAAACTTAAATATGTTTGGTTCTAGAAAATTAAGTCCACTTCTCATAAAATTGAGTTTTTTATTATTATTTAAATTTTCATGCTTTTTTATTTTTAGTGAATTTTTTTAATATTTTGTTCAAATTTTTTATTTTTTAGATATACCTAATCTAAAAACCTTAAAAAGTATAATATTTGCCAAAAAAAGTTTTAAAAAATTCACCAAATACAAAAAATACACGCACACACACACAAAAAAAAATTCAATATATTTTCATATTTTGTTGTATTTAATGAATTTTTTTTATAGATTTTTGTATAAATTTTTTACTTTTTTAAGTATATTAAGATTAAGTGAATCTAAAAATTAAAAGAAATTGATTAAAATATTTACAAAAATCATTAAAAATATAAAAATACAAATTGAAAAGTCCTAAAATTATTTTTGAAAACTATCAATTTTTTTAAAAAAAAATTCACCAGTTAAAATATCTCTTTAAATATCTTTAATTAATAAAAAAAATTAGAAATTTTGACATGAAAATATATTTTTAAATTTTCCTTTTTCATCTTAAACAAACAATTTAAGACTTTTAATAGCATATTCATTATAAATTTTATGTAAGAATCACATTTTCATAAATCAAATACATGGGATTGTCTTTCAAAAAACAAAAAAATCCATAGGATTGACCTAAACATGACTATGGGCACAAACATCCCAACCCTAGTAGGCCACCCCTCATTTCAATATTCAAATCAAACCACAAGTGGTCCACAACAACGGACGACTAATAAAGTCCCCAGGATTGAATTGGAGAGAACCTTTTCCCACTAAAAGTGCATATAGACAGACAATTGACGGGACCACACTTATCGAATAGTAAAAGGTTTTCAATCCCCCCAAAATAGAAAATGTCAGAGACCACACCGTTGTCTAACGTCTTTCCAATCAATCCTAGAGACCGACCCCTCTTCTTGAAAGTTTTGGAAAAACTCCGGTATACGTCAATTAATATATTAATTAATATATTAATATTAGTTATGATATTATTATTAATTTCATTTATTAATATAATTGTAAATATCAAAAAAAAAATTTAACTATCTCATATCATTGATAAGTTCAATTTAAAAGTGTTTTAACTCAAGAAATCCATGAAGAAATTTTTTAACCCATTTAGTCCCATGTATGTATAGTTTTATTCCATAAAGTTCATTTTCTTGATTTACATTATTTTTTTGGACACTTATGCCCTTATATTTAATTTTGATACCCTTATAAATATTTTTTCAACAATTAGCAATTTAATGATGTGAACATTCATATTTTAAAATTCACATTTGTAGGAATGTAAATTGGCCCGTGGGCGGCCCGAAACCTGCCCGCAAGCCAGGGCGGGCCCGGCCCGTTGACAATGTGAATATTCACATTAACATGTTAAAATTCACATTAATAGGAGTGTAAAATTGGCCCCCGTCCCGTGGCGACGCAAAACCCGCCCGCGGCCAATGGGCGGCCCGGGGCGGCCCCGGTCCGGCCCGTTAACAATGTGAATATTCACATTGACATGTTAACATTCACATTAATAGGAGTGTAAAATTGGCCCCCGTCCCGTGGCGGCGCGAAACCCGCCCGCGGCCCATGGGCGGCCCGTGCATGACCCGTTGACAATGGAATATCACATTGACATGTTAACATTCACTTGGATGGATGTAAAATAGCCCGCGCCTCGTAAGCTGCCCGAAACCCGCTCCACGACCCGTGGCGTGGGTCCGGCCTCAGTCCTTTACAAATATGAATGTTCACTATTGACATGTGACATCGACTTGATAAGAAAGTATAAAACAGACAGCGCCCAACGGCCCGACCGCCCGCCCGCCCATTGGACAAAAATTGGAATATTCACATTGACATGTTTAACATTCACAATTAATAGGGAGGTGCAATAATTGGCCCCCCGTCCGGGTCGCGCAAAACCAGCCCGCAGCCCCATGGGACGGCCTGCGGTCTGCCCGTTGACTAAGTGGATATCACATTGACATGTTAAATTCACATTGATAAGGTATAAATTGGCCTGCGGCCCATGGACGGCAAAAAGCCGGCCCGCGGCCCGGGGGGCCGGCCAGCCCGTTGACAAAGTGAATCACATTGACAGTTAACATCCATCATTGATAAGATGTAAAAATTTGGCCCGCAGCCCGTGGCGGCCCTCCGAAGCCCGACCGCAGCCCGAGACGGGCTTGGCCTGCCCGTGACAATGTGATATTCACATTGACATTTTACATTCACATTAATAGGAGTGTAAAATTAGCCCGCGTCCCGTGGCTGCCCCGAAAAAAACCCGTCCACGGGCCGCTGGGCGACCAGGCGTGCTCGGTCCGGCTTGTTGACAAGTGAAGTATTCACATGACATGTTAACAAAATTCAACATTATCAAGTAGTATACAATGGCCCGTGACCCTGGCAAACCGAAAACCCGACCTCGGGCCAGGCGGGCCCGTTGGGCAATTGAATATTCAAATTGACATGTTAACATTCACATTGAAGGTAAGTGTAAAATTGGCCCGCAGCGCCGTGGCGGCCCGAAGCCAATCGCGAGCCCGAGGCGGGCTTGGCCCGACCCATGAACGATGTAATATTCACGTTGAACAAGTAACTATTAACATTGATAGGGTTGATGGTAAACTTGTCCGCTGCCCGATAGAGCTTCGCTGCGCCGAGGTAGCCCGTGATCAAACCGGGCCACCACGGTCCATCCACGGGCTTCGGGCGCCCATGGACGTCGATGTCAATTTTACACTCTTACAAGTGTGAAAGTAACATGTTATATGTGGAAATATGTCACATTGTCAACAGGCCGGGCCGGGCCCCCCCGGGCCACCCACGGGCCGTGGGCTAGTTTCGGGCAGCCACGGGGCGCGGGCTAATTTTACACTCCTATCAATGTGAATGTTAACATGTCAATGTGAATATTCACATTGTCAATGGACCGGGCCGGGCTCGCCCCGACCCGGGCTGCCCACGGGTCATGGGCCAATTTTACACTCTTGTCAATGTTAATGTTAATGTTAATATGTCAGTGTGAATATTCATATTGTGAACAAGCCGGCTCGGGCCCGCCCCGGGCGACGGGTTGGTTTCGGGCTGCCCACGTGCCGCAGGCCAATTTTGCACTCCTATCAATATGAATGTTAACTTGTCAATGTGAATATTCATATTATCAACGGGCCAGGTCGGGCCTATTTTTTTGGCTTGTGGGCCGGCCCGGCCAGACTCGAATTTTTTCGGGCACCCATGAGAATTGACATGAGCCGGGCCCCTGCACATTGACGATATAAACATTTATATTGACGATGTGAACATTCACATTAAGGGTATTTTGGTAATTATGTCACCCATAAAACTTATTGAAACATAAGAAAATAATGTGAACTAAATGGAACATAAGTAGATGAAAAGGGTATTTTGGTCTTCTTATCTCAAATTGGACCTAATGGAATAGTAAAAAAGAATATGAGTTGGATGGAATAAAACTCTTAGAAAATGGATTTATCAAAAAAGCTCCCATTAATATATTAATTATAATATTATTTAAAGGAAAATGTTTAAAACTTCCTTTTGGAGAGATTCTTACTACCTACAGTGATATGGATCAATGATGTGTTTGTATTATTTTTTTTTTCTTTCTCTTACTTATTTAGACGAATCATAAATGAGTGAAAATTATTTGAATAATATTTTGTAAGGTCTGAATCATTACTGTATTCAAAAACTCCTCCGTAATCCATTTCAACATCCTCTCTCTCTTCTCGTGCTCTCGCTTGCTTGGATCAAAGTGCCCATTAGTGACCTTCACGTTATTTATCTCTCTCTCTCTCTCTCTCTCTCTCTCTCTCGCAGAGTGAGTGAGAAATTCAACAACCCAACTCAAAAAAGAAGCTAGAAGACAAACCACAGTGCCCCTTTTCTTCTTTCTCCTTTTGGTGGGCCACGTGTTTGATAATTTGTGGCTAAAATAGCCTATTTTATTTTTTGTGGCTAAAATAGTCAAAAAAAACCTAAAAATCATCTTGCCAAACAGAGGCTTACTTATTTAGACGATTCATAAGTGAGTGAAAATTATGAAAATAATATTTTATAAGGTCTGAATCATTACTGTATTCAAAAACACCTCCGTAATCCATTTCAACATCCTCTCTCTTCTCGTGCTCTCGCTTGCTTGGATCAAAGTGCCCATTAGTGACCTTCACGTTATTTATCTCTCTCTCTCTCTCTCTCGCAGAGTGAGTGAGAAATTCAACAACCCAACTCAAAAAAGAAGCTAGAAGACAAACCACAGTGCCCCTTTTCTTCTTTCTCCTTTTGGTGGGCCACGTGTTTGATAATTTGTAGGACTTTTTTTGGGCACAGACAACCGTTACCTTTCTGGGATTCCTTCAAATTTCTAGTCTGTGGTACAAAAATTGGTGCTTTGGTTAGTTTTGGCTTGTGGGTTTCTCTTCTTGACTGTTGGGTATTTGGAATTTATAGGGGTTTTTGGGTTACTGTTTGATGATTTGATGTCTTCGGCCGTTGGAGCTGTTTCTAGTTCCAAGAACATGGGGGGTTTTGATGAAAACAAGGAGGGTGGAGAGAGAATTGGAGTTCAAGAAAGTGGAGATGAAAGTGAAGGGAAAGCGAAGAGAAGTATGAGTGAGAGCTCTTTTTATGTTACTGAAGATGAGGAAGATGAGGATGGTAATAAAATAGAGCTTGGTCCTCTTTGTACTCTTAAAGAGCAGCTTGAGAAAGATAAGGTTTGTCTCTGCTCAAATTCATCCTATATACACCATCTTTACCTTATTGGTGGGTTGATTTTGTGTCTTTTAATGTTCTAAGTTTCCATTTTTTGTTTGAATTTTGAGGTTTTTTAGGATGATGAGAGCCTGAGGAGGTGGAAGGAACAGCTTCTTGGGGCTGTGGATATTGACAATGTTGGAGGTATTAATGATTCCATCTAACTACAATTATGATTATACCAAATTTGGATTTTGAGGGATCATACATTAATCTTCTTCTAGTGGCTTTTATGTTTGTTTTTAGTTTGCTTAATTGTAGTGATCAAACTGGGAAAGTCATAGGATCTGAATTCCCTTTTCTAGTTCAGTGAAGTTTCTTTCTTTTTTGGTTCTTGAATTCCCTTTTCTTGTAATTTAACTGCCTGTCTTTATACTATGTATTGAGATAAAAAGAGTCAAAATCATCTTTAGTACTAAAACGACATACCTGAATTGGCTGTTTTACTGTTAGTGATTTGTCTTTTAACCTCTGTTGCTCTGTAATTTCAGTCTTTAATTTTCTTGGTTTTCGTGAACGTGGGACTTTCATTTTTGAGAGGAGCTTCAATCTGGAAGAAATCAGTGATGGAGTTCATAATGTAATTGAAGTTCTGTTATGGCCAAGGTTTTTAAAATGAGGATCCTATGTGGGATCGTTGGGAGGTACTCATGGATCAGATCGTAGAATCGGATCAAGGATCGTGAGATTCTATTTTCAACACAAAATAAAATGAAAAATTATGAATAATGATAATGTATGTTACACAATTTCAAAAAGACTAAAGAAAAATGATAAATTTAATATAATGCACTTTCTATGTTAATATAAATTGGAAGAAACGATTGAAAAAGGAGTTTGTAGTCAAATTTATATATATATATATATATATAGAAGAAGAAGTAAATAATAACAAAAAAATTGTAGGATTGGAATCGTAATAGAATCGGGATCGTATGCAATTCTACACGTTTTAATGAATAGGATCGTAATCACTTTAAAATCTTATTAAATTTAAAATCCTAGTGTGATCCAAATCATTTGGCCCAATTAAAATCGTAAGATCCTACGATCCGGATTAGGATTCTAATAACCATGGTTATGGTTGATTAATTGTAGAATATGCATCATATAATATCTAGGGTTTCTGTTATGAAGTATATCATTCCTTCCAAAAAAAGGCCGAGCTAGTGCACTAGGCTGCTCGCCCTAATGCATATAATCTACTGAGTTTCCATGTTTTTGCTGTAAAATCAAAGAGTTTTTTTTTTTTTTTTCTTTTTCTTTTTGTATCATTCCTAGAGATTTTCCTTCCTAAATCAATCAAGTCTGCCAATTCAATACATTTCATTTTCCACCTGAGAATTAGTTTTTAAAGTTGAATTTCAAAACAGCGATTTAATTGGTAGAAACAAGTCAATGTTGTTCAATCATCCATAGCACTAATAGCAAGATTTTCTTGCATATTGCACCCGAGGCATCTGCTACACTGTTTATGCAAATCAACAAGAATATAAAACAGTAGTGAAATTTTTCTTACAAAGCCAACCAAGTCTGAGTGTTTTCCTTTATCCCATTCACCTTTTTTTTTTGGGTCTCTCCCTCTATTTATTGGAATGAAGGTTCAACGCTATCCGGAGCAAATATTTCAACTTTTGACAGTACTATCTATGTTAAAAATAAATACTAGTCTTCTTTGAATTCTTTCCTCCATTCACTAACAGCAATCACCTGTTTCAAAATCAAATTATTTCAAGCCTTATCCTATATTTCTTTTCTCATGAGATTTGTGCATCATAATATTGGTTTATTGCTTCATTTGTTGCAGAAACATTGGAACCAGGAGTGAAGATCCTCAGTCTTTCTATCCTCTCTCCTGATAGATCTGACATTGTTCTTCCTATTCCAGAAGATGGAAAGCCCAAAGGCTTGTGGTTTACTTTGAAAGAAGATAGTAGATACAGTTTGAAATTCTCTTTCCAAGTCAACAATAACATTGTATCTGGGCTCAAGTACACAAGCACTGTTTGGAAAAATGGTATGAAAGGTAATCTACCAGTGTCCTAAATCAAACCCAAAATTCAAATTTTCAAAAACATTTGAATGTTTTTGTCCTCATTTTTTGTCTTATATTTCAGTGGACAGCACGAAAGAGATGCTTGGAACTTTTAGTCCTCAGCAAGAGCCTTACACACATGTGATACCCGAAGAAACTACCCCATCCGGCTTTTTTGCTAGAGGTTCATATTCTGCAAGAACAAAGGTAAGTTCAATTAGATAGATTTTTTCCCCTCAAGATTTCTGTGCTTAGATGATCCAAACACGGTCTGGAAACTTTAACCATAATGGAATTGGTTCTGATTAGAATTTACTTTCCTTATCTTCATGTAGTGAATTGACAGTTCAGATGTGATAGGCATTAATATGCTTTTGAATTGTTTGGGGTCCTTGTTTGCATTTCCTCTCTTAAAAAATGCAACGAGTTTGACTACTGGTGGAGTTTGAAGACTGGGGATATCACCATTGAAAATTTTTTAAACTAAAAAGTGATCCGGAAATTTTAGTACTGAAAAATGTTTGGGAGCTCTAAATTGGGAATACTAAAGGAGCTCTAGAGAGTGGGTTCCACTGACTGATGTGATGTTTTAGCCTTAAGTTTTTTTTTTCTTTTTTTTTTTGAATTTTCACCTCATTAGTGGTCCATTAGTGCTCCCAAATTAGTGGGATGTATCATTGTTGTTTTAGTACTGATTCTGCTAAATTATAACTGACTTTATTCATTGTTGAAATTTCTTGCACAATCTTTATTTTATCACTTGACATTTACGCTGTGTTTGGTTGGGGGATTTGAGGAGGGAATTGAAAAGGAAATGGAAAAAGTTAGGTGAAATGTGAATAAAATATACTTACATTTCACACACCTTTTCCCTTTCATTAAGGGTATGATGACAATTTTTTTCTGAATTGTTTTGGGGCCTCATCTGAATTTTCTAACTGAAAATGTACAATGAGTCCAATTCGGGTGGCTTGACTTATCGCTTGATCCTCAGGTTTCCTCCCCAGTCTAGGACATAGTTTCCAAATATCAAAAAATAAAAAATTGTACATGAATATAAATTTAGGGCATAGATATATAAGAGGCACCAATGTATATCTCGGTGTATTTTTATATTTATTTATTTATTTCATTTACTTCCCTTTTTGTTTTCATATATTTTACTTTAAGCAAATCAACTTTCTAAAATTATAAAAAAGAAACTCATAAAGGTGTCCTGAGACGTCTCCAAACACAGGACACGAGTGTTTGTAAAATATCCCCAAAGTGTCCTACAAAAAATAACAATTAAAAAAATTGAGACGTCACATGACATGTCCAACACGTGGACACGGACACAGACACGGCACCCATTTTGAAGTGTCAGCGCTTCATAGACAGAACCCTCCCTAGGCGTGACCCATAGCCAAATGTGTTTACCATTAGTTTCCTCCTCTTTCAAGATTTATATTTTGGCTTAACTACTGAACTTCAGAGGATTGCAGATGCCCCTGTAATTTCTGAACTGTAAATGTGGCCTTACCTTTTATATCTCATTGTTATCTGAAGATTTTGAGGTCAAAAGAGTACCAACTTTGTCACTTATCCTCTTACAAAGCTCTGTTCTGTCTTGAACACATGGCCCATCTATTCGTGAAGCAAACTTTCTGTTGTTTGCCTTCCTTTGCAAGTGGCCTATGTTGAACAGTATTCCAATTTCTTGATGTAGACCTGGTTTTGTTATCTTTCTGAGTTCATTCCCTTTGCATTGAAGTAGTTTGAATAAAAAATAAATGAGTCTGACAACTGAACATAACAGTACCATGTGCAATGCAAACCAAATTATGCATGAAAATTTTACTACATTATCACAACATTGCATTTGCATTGCAACCGTAAATGTACTGATATCCAGTTTCGTTGTCTTTGTTTTCAGTTCGTTGACGATGATAACAAATGCTACTTGGAGATCAACTACACGTTTGACATCAAGAAGGATTGGGCCACTCCTTAAAACAGCGGACTTGTAGACCAGCATTATCATATCTCAAAATTCATCTATGTTCTTTGTACCAAAACCAGCTTAATATGTTTCTCCTTACATAGATTTAATTATAATTCCCCATTTAGTTTTCACCAATTCATTCCAGCATGATGCGAGATTTTGTAATGTTTCTTCTTCTTTATTTCTTTTTTTGTTTTTTGATTTTTCCTTTTTTTGGGTTTAAACTGTTTGTTGGGTATTGTTAACAATTAGAATAGAAGGGTTGTCAGTCAGAAAGCAATTCAGCTAACGGATAAGTTTTGTTTGATATCTGTTTTTTTTTTTTTTTCTTTTCTTAATTCTTTTAGACATACATGGAACTTTCTCTCGCATATCTGTCCTTCCTTTTGTTCTTTTTGATGCGTAATTTTTGCTTCTCTTTCTTCTTCTGGATAAAGGGTACTCCTTAGTCATAACTTCATTGCGATTCCATTTGATAGCTTTGACCTCTTTTAATCGATGTAGGAAATTTGGCTATAAACTCCTCTTATCTTCCTTTTATTGTTAAAAGAATTAAGAAAAAAATTATACTTTTAAAACTCCCTCATAATTATAAAGTCTTGTAGAAATGACAAAATTTATTATTTAAATATTTTATTAGACTATTATACCCTCAACTAAATCTTTCCCCATCACCATCTCAATCTCTAAAGTTTCGTCTGATACAACTATTGTTTATACATAGACGATGACGCCATGGCTAGGGTTTCAAAGGAGATTTGGTCAGAGTGACCAGATCTGGTAGCAAAATCTACGTTGACGACCTCACAGGCCTCTCCGCTACCGTGGCCGACAACTATAAGAGCAGCTTACCTCACCCATTGCCCTTGTAATGAACCTACTCTCTCTCTCTCTCTCTCCTCACCTATGTTATTCGCCATGGACCTCTATTATTCTCAATTTTGATGCATAATAAGGTATTGTTCTTCATGTTTGATTGTGATTTTATTAAAATTAGGGTTTTAAATGATCGAGCTAGGGTTAGGGTTTGTTATTAGAATGTTGATTTCTAAAGAAATTGAGAATTTAGGGTTCGAGATTTGAAATTGTTTTCCATTAATGGTCGATTTGAGCAAGTTTTCTATAATTATTATAGATTAAAGATCATCCGCCACCTATGGTGGTTGATTGTTACGAAGTGATCTCCAATGGCAAAAGTGAAGAAAAGAAGTTGGAAAGGGAGATTGTGCTTGGGAGCTTCTGGTCTTCCGAATCTTGTCTCACAGCTTTTGTTTGGTGTTCAATCACACTATTTGTATAGATAAAAGGCTGTGATTTGTTCAAAAATTTGATCTGTTTATTTTCAATCTTCTCAAGTTCTTTTTTTCAATTATTATTATTATGTAAGTTTAGATCATTTTTTGTTGTTGTTGATGATGATGAAAAAACATATTGCAACAGATATATATATATTTTTTTCCTTGTGTTGATGTTGATGAAAATGAGACAGATTGTAATAGATATGGAGAACATGAATCTGAGCTAAAGATGTCACCTTGTTGTTTCCAGTTGGATATTTTTTTTTTTATTTGTTAATAGATCTTAGAGTAAAATTTGACTCTGGTTCATTCATTTAGTATGTATTTTATTTTTTGTAACAGTAAAATTTTACTCTAGTTAAAAACATGTTGATTTGCTTAACAATATAAAATTTTATTTTGAATCATAGTAAACTTTACTTCTATTCGATCAACCTGCGAACACAACGAAGGTGAGCTACCCGGCGGTATGTTGCCAGAAAATCCCCCGACAGTCAAGTTAGAACACACTCAGAGATAGAAAGAGAGAGAGGAAGAGAGTTGAATGTTTAGGTTTCTCTCACCAAATGATGTTCCATCCATAGCATGGGGAGCGCAGTCATGCTTATATACTTTTTGCGTTCACCTCTGCACCCATTCGTCTATTGACACATGGAGCTGCTCTCCCATCTATCAGCACAAATCCAACTAAACACCACCTAATCAAACCGCCGGACGACATTAGCGGGAATGGGTAGCCCGGCGGCATCACCTCGGCCTCATACGACCGTGCTACGTAACGAGTCTAACAACGCCACTCACCGAGCTCCGTTATGACTGAGCTTAGCAGCCCCCCGTAATGACTGAGCACTTGCTCGGTTGGCCGGTCTGCGGAGGATCTTGCACGCCGATCTCAACGAGCAAACAACGCGAACTGGGCTAGTAGAGAAGTTATCCCGACCAAATCAGACCTGGGCTTTAACCAAGCGCACAGCACCTGGATTGTCCCAGCCTAGCTCGGCCCAAACATGCTCGAACCAATTTTAGCCCGGTCATTACCACGGCCCAAAGCCAGATTATGAAATCTCCCTCACAATTGCCCCTTAATTTTGCCCGCATTTGCATGACCGGAATTAAATTATAAGGCCGGGCTAGACTTTTTGCTCAGTGGTTCACTTTGCTCGGTCTAGAAACCTCAAAGTTGGCAAACAAAGTCAGTTCATCAACTCACTTCTTGGTGAGTAAAATCAGCTAAGCAAATTCTTGAGCGCGCAAAATCAACTTGGCAAGGACCTTCAAAGTTAGCGAGGAAAGCCAGCTCAGCAACTTGATTCTTGGCGAGCAAGATCAGCTCGGCAAGGAACTCCAAGGTCAGCGAGCAAGGCCGACGACTTTCTTCTTAACGAGCAAAATCAGCTCGACAAGGAACTCCAAGGTCAGCGAGCAAGGTCCGCTCTGCGACTTGCTTTTAGGCGAGCAAGATCAGCTCAGCAAGGAACTCCAAGGTCGGTGGGCAAGGTCCGCTCCGCGACTTGCTTCTTGGCGAGCAAGATTAGCTCGGCAAGGAACTCCATGGTCGACGAGCATGGTCCGCTCAGCGACTTGCTTCTTGGCGAGCAAGATCAGCTCGGCAAGGAACTCCAGGTTGGCGAGTAACGTCAGCTCGGCGACTTTCTTCTTGGTGAGCAAGATCAGCTCGGCAAGGAACTCCATGGTCAACGAGCAAGGTCCGCTCGGCGACTTGTTTCTTATCGTGCAAGATCAGCTCGGCAAATAACTCCAAGGTCGGTGAGCAAGGTCAGCTCAGCGACTTTCTTCTTGGCGAGCAAAATCAGCTCGGCAAAGAACTCAAAGGTCGGCGAGCAAGGTCAGCTCGACGACTTGCTTCTTGGTAAGTAAGATCAGCTCGGCAAGGAACTCAAAGGTCAGTGAGCAAGATCAGCTCAGTGACTTTCTTCTTGGCGACCAAGATCAGCTCAGCAAGGAACTCCAAGGTCGCGAGCAAGGTTTGCTCGGCGACTTACTTCTTGGCGAGTAAGATCAGCTCGACAAGGAGTTCCATGGTCAACGAGCAAGGTCTGCTCGGCGACTTGCTTTTTGGCAAGCGAGATTAGCTCGGCAAGGAACTCCAAGGTAGGCGGGCAAGGTCCGCTCCGCGACTTACTTCTCAGCGAGCAAGATCAGCTTAGCAAGGAACTCTAAAGTCGAGGAACAAGGTAAGCTCAGTGACTTTCTTCTTGGCGAACAAGATCAGATCGACAAGGAACTCCATGGTCGGCGAGCAAGGTCCGCTCGACAACTTGCTTCTTGGCGAGCAAGGTCTGCTCAGCGACTTACTTCTTGGCGAGCAAGGTCCACTCGGCGACTTACTTCTTGGTGAGCAAAATCAGCTCGGCAAGGAACTCCAAGGTCGGCGAACAAGGTGCGCTCGGCAACTTACTTCTTGGCGAGCAAGATCAGCTCGACAGGGAACTCCAAGGTCGGCGAGCAAGGTCCGCTCGGCGACTTACTTTTTGGCGAGCAAGATCAGCTTCAGCAAGGACCTCAATGGTCGGCGAGCAAGGTCAGCTCGGCGACTTTCTTCTTGGCAAGCAATATCAGCTCAGCAAGGAACTCCATGGTCAACGAGCAAGGTCAGCTCGACGACTTGTTTCTTGGCGAGCAAGATCAGCTCGGCAAGGAACTCTAAGGTCGGCGAGCAAGGTCAGCTCGGCGACTTTCTTCTTGGCGAACAAAATCAGCTCGGCAAGGAACTCCAAGGTTGGCGAGCAAGATCCGCTCGGCGACTAACTTCTTGGCGAGCAAGATCAATATGATATCCATGTTCCGTAATATGTTAATTGGTCCTTAAAATGAGTATGATTATGTGTTTAATATGATTTTGTGTGCAAGTATGTGAAAATATGTAGTTTTGAATTTCTATCTGTTTACCGTTGGAATATCTGTTTGATTATCTGCTTTCGAAATTGAATTGAAGGCCTTATCGGCCACCGAAATCAAAATTGATTGCGCCATTGTGATTGGCATAATTTTTAGAGCCTACGGTGAAATTTAATTGAAAATTGATTCAAATCAGATTAAACTGATTTAATTAATGAATTAAGTGCCCAAATGTTTTATATTGAAATAATTGTGACTAGTGGGACTTTAAGAGAGGCACTACACCCTCAACATCTCTCATTTGTTACACTTTGGGGCTGATTTCAACTCTAAGAAAAGAGAGAGGGGTCGGCTAGAGAGAGAGGGAGAAGCAATTGGAGATTTGAGTGAGGAACTTGAGAAACTTGGAGATTTAACTACAAATTGTGAAGAATTGAACCTCTAGGTAAGCACTTGACCCTGAATTCATAAGTTTGAAATTGTGATCTTGTAAGTTCAAGGATTGTTTGTGATCAAGAGCATGTATTGAGTTGGTTTTTGTTGAATTGGAAGACTATATATGCATGCATGTATATAATTGTCTTGAATTTGCATAATTGAGCTTGAATTACATGACTCATGTTGAATTTTGGTTGAAATCCATGTATTTGACCATATTTTATCATATGGGATGGGAATGAGGATTATATGTCACATGCATGTACAATCCATGGGAGTAGAAGCTTTGAATGCATGAAGTTGTTATGTTAGTAATGAATTTGGTGAAAAAAGAGCCATGCATGGCTTTGATTTATGAAATTGAGCTTCAAAATGTTGTAATTTAGTGTTTGTACCATGTTAGTGCATATATATATGAAGTTTGAGTCAAAATCATGCATTTGGAGCCTTTAAGTTTGAAGTTGAAGTTCAAGATCGTATTCTGGATTTTCCAGAATTTTGATGTCCGCTCGAGCGGGGAAACCGCCGCTCAAGCGTGAAATTCGTGCTCCCAGTATATTTTTATAGACATGGTGTCCGCTCGAGCGGGAAAGTTCACGCTCGAGCGGGGAGCCATGTAGAGAGGCCTTCCGCTCAAGCGTCAAAATCCACCCTTGAGCGTAAATTTCACATAACTAGTACTTTTACAGGCCTCAAGGGTCCGCTCGAGCGG